TGAAGGGGTGCTGTACGAGAAGAAGAAGAAGAATGCAAATAGCCAGAGTATTTCAGGATTGTATAAGTTTTTATGGTGTGAGCACATAATGTTGGGTTGAAAGTGATATGATCATAGTACAATAATAAGTATCACGATAATGTACAGTATATTATAATCCTATCACATTCCTGCAAGTACATGTATCCCATTTGACAATAATATTTAGCATCTCCTCATCACCAACATCTATGTGGTCATAGTTACCATATTTGTAAGCTTATCACTTATGCTGGATGCTTCCCGGCTTTACTGTCTTCTTGTATCATCACTATTTGTTATGGATATAACGAGGATATCAGTAACAACAACAGCAACAGTAGTAGTAGCAGTTGAATCATAGTAATAATGGAGATTAGGATGTTAATACTGCTACTCAATAGTGTTGATAATGGACTTTGGTCGGGCACCCTGTAACACTCTTATTATACCGTAACTCTCCCAATGATACAACAATAAGGATGGGATGGGGGATACATCCTCAATAACAACAAGTAACACAAGTATACGTACACTTGTCATTAACTCATTGAGCGCTTGAATCCAACTGAGGGGCATGCATAATTATAGGGCATCGACCCGGACCCTCTATCCAATGCATCCTTTCTAATACACTTCTACTACCCCGATCTGACTCGTTATATAAATAAACATGTGGCCAGAGAACAAGAGGAAGTTTTGAAGACCTGATATCCAATCTAATTGACGTAGATCATCAGCCCGACAACAACTGGTCTAACAATTTCATTGATACTTGCTCGATCAACGGTGATACTAATTATAAGTAATTCATAATGAATCAGAACACCATGTTATATACTCATACTAACTCCCCATCATTATGTTCTTCATAGTCAATCGTAGGCATATATCTTCCTTTTCCTCCTGTTGTGGTGAGAGTGCCAAGAAGGTGTCGATGATAATTTATAGTAGTAAGCACAATATTCCGTTATCGGCAGAGTTGAAAATCTTGTCATGAACAGCAACATTGGTTTGGAGCTGATGCATAGTGATAAGAATCGAGGAGCTGATGCATAGTGATAAGAATGAAGGAGTTGATGAATAGTGATGAGAATGAAGGAGTTGATGAATAGTGATGAGAATGAAGGAGTTGATGAATAGTGATGAGAATGAAGGAGCTGATGCATAGTGATAAGAATGAAGGAGTTGATGAATAGTGATGAGAATGAAGGAGTTGATGAATAGTGATGAGAATGAAGGAGTTGGTGAATAGTGATAAGAATGAAGGAGTTGATGAATAGTGATAAGAATGAAGGAGTTGATGAATAGTGATAAGAATGAAGGAGTTGATGAATAGTGATAAGAATGAAGGAGCTGATGCATAGTGATAAGAATGAAGGAGTTGATGAATAGTGATGAGAATGAAGGAGTTGATGAATAGTGATAAGAATGAAGGAGCTGATGAATAGTGATAAGAATGAAGGAGTTGATGAATAGTGATGAGAATGAAGGAGTTGATGAATAGTGATGAGAATGAAGGAGCTGATGCATAGTGATAAGAATGAAGGAGTTGATGCATAGTGATAAGAATGAAGGAGTTGATGTCATGTCAATGCATGGGCATCTATCCACACAGTCGTTGGAATCCATACGTATACGGATTATAGGTATAGAATTATACTTGATGTGATATCCAAATCCAAGTGTAAAGTTTCAGTTATGGTTGTGAATCGTTCCTGACAACTTAACAACTCAAAACTATATTAGCCTATTCAAAGTGATTATTAAATAATGATCATCATCACCACAATCCTCCTCAATAATAATATATTTAATACCAATCATACTCCAAGTAGTAATTACACTACCATACACAACTGAATCTACTTAGAGGAGGAGGAGGCGACCTCTTGATGATGACCTTTCTGTTGATGTTCTTCTTCTTCAGAATCATAATTAGGATCACCCTTATCCATAGCAGCATCGGCTGGTGGATCACCAGCTGTGCCCCATGTATACTTGCCACCAGCTGATAGAATAATAACATCGTAATCAACAATAGAGACATTAAAGACTCACTCACCTCCATCCTTCTTCTGAGCAGCATCAGCATTAACCGAAGACTTCGGATTACCGCTGTGGCGCTCCTTCCTAGCATCAGATTTGCCGTATCCCATACTTATTATTTTAATAGATATTAAGTCTGAACAAGTAATAAGTTGAAGCTTTAGCTAAGATTTGTCGGGGTGGCGACGGAGGCGACGGCAAACTGTTGTTCTTTAGCGTAACTTGACATCTTGCACACACTTGAGTTATCTCAGATCTCCTGATTTTAATCTTAATCTCTACTATATATATATTAATATTATATACTAATAGGAGTAAACAAATCGTGCTTCAAAAAGTTGACTCCGTTCTTGATTTGTACATGTCAAGATTTGACCGCTTCTAACCATGCAATTTCCTGAGGTTTCCATACGGAGTACTTCGCGCTTTCAATATTTTATGCTTCGTCGTTTTACTGCTGAAGCACTTACATCTACATATGTTATCCTTCTTTACTCAATAACACCTGTATTGTAGGCATTACGAACGACTTGGTTATCCTACAATCTACGTTCATCCGTCGTTATTCATGACGTAGTATTCAATTTTCACCTTCAAGAGTTTATTACTGATCGTGATACTGCTGAGGTACTTGCATCTACACATGCCACTCTTTTTTAAATAATAACGCCCCTTTTTGACCTCACCAATTGCATCATCACCCTACCATTCAATACTAACGACGTGGTGATGAACGTCCAACGACTTTGTTGTACCTCCAGATCATCAGCTGATCCGTTTGTGAGCGTTCACTAATTCTTATCACCGACTCTTACTGATGTCGATCATGTGCCGCTTCCAGTCATGCACCATTCTTAGGTATCCGCAAAAACTACTCTTCACTCTCGAGACATTGCCGCTAATCGTGGTGCAGCCGATGTAATTTATGATCATTTGCTACATAGTGATGGATCTAATTTGGATGATACAACCCACACTGTCATCCACATCCTCATTCCGAGTGTGTCATTCGCGGAATCGATATAATCAAACCTCC